AACAGGGTGCATGCTTGGGGTTACTGATTCTTGTAAGAAGACATGAGGCCAGTATCCTAAGTCAACAAGGGAGGGATGACAGGCTGTGAGAGATGAGAACCTGCACAGGGCCTTAAGCAATCTTCTGTATTAAGTCTCAATTTTGCCATTCATCAGATTGCAAGGTCATTACATTCAACTCTGAAAAAAAAGGAAAAGGAAAAGGAAAAGGAAAAGGAAAAGGAAAAGGAAAAGGAAAAGGAGGAAAAGGAAAAGGAAAAGGAGGAAAAGGAAAAGGAAAAGGAAAAGGAAAAGGAAAAGGAAAAGGAAAAGGAAAAGGAAAAGGAAAAGGAAAAAAAAGAAAAAGAAAAAGAAAAAGAAAAAGAAAAAGAAAAAGAAAAAGAAAAAGGACCAAGGCATTTGGTGGCATTTTCTGAAACTCTCTGCGTTAAATTCACTAATTAATTTCAGCAACAATAGTGAAAAATCAGTCTTTCCTCCTCCCTCTTCTCCCACCTATCACTTATGTCAAGGGCTCTGATTGACATGGAGTAGGATTTTTGAGGGTATTTTTGTGTTTGTAAAATATCAGCCCTGGATCTGACTTGGTCTCCTTGGAGCACTGTGTGCCTTTCTGAGGGGCGCTTCTGGGGGCGTGTAAGCTGGAGAGGCAGGTGATGTCGCTGATGCTCTTTTGTGGCAACTGCCTCATAAATTCTATGAAAAGGCACAGAAATGTGAGTTATCAGCCTCTCATTCCCACTTGCAAGGGCGAATTTATCTGATAGACTTAGAAACCTCTTTTTGGGGGGGAGAGAAACAGAATATGAACGTTATTGAGCTACATTTTGAAAGGGCACCTGACAGACTATTGTTGATTTCAAGATGATGCAGACACACAACATCCAGTCCTGGATTATCCAAACACCTGGCATCGCAGCAGTGTTTCAGGCAACTTTTACCACCAGGCAGCTGGCAAATAGCCTGATGTAACCAAGACCCCCTGCGTTCTACTTGGGAAAGTTCACAGGAACACAAGACTTACTCTTCTCTCCTATTTTGGGCTTGTCATGCTATGCCACAGAGCTACCAGTGACCAAGAAGCTTTTTCCAACACCTGAGACAGCTCAAGGAGAGTGATACCGGCTTTCCTCTTTTTTTGTCCAGTCTTGCTGTTATCCTGGAGACAGTAACAGAAGCAACATCCAGATCACCATCACCCCTTCACATAGCTCTGAACCCTACAGGTGGGTGCTGGAGAACTGCTTCACTCACTTGCAAGTTTGTCTGACTAGTACCTGCTGTGTGAGACCTCCTGGACTGTTATCAGCGAGGTCAGGTGGGTTCAACCAACTCTGCAGCAAAGTACACAGCCTCCCCACCACATCTCTAACCTTGGCTCATGCTGATGGGAAAATCATGAAGTTGTAAGGAAAAAGCTCAGAAAGCTTCTAGAGAAGAGCCACGTAAGGTAAGGTAAAACTACAGATCAGATAGGTGTCAGCAGCACTTCAAGAATTTAAGGGGAAAAACCCCAACATAGTAATATAGAAAGATTAAGAAATACCAATAAAAAAAAAAAAAAAAAAAAAAAAAAAAAAAAAAAAAAAAGAAAGAAAACTCTTAGAGATGGCAACTCAGCACCAACAAAGAGCTATGCCAGGGAGCCCTGGAGAATTATAAACCCTTCCTCTCCTGGCTGATGCCTGTCTGGCTAGTAAAGAAACATTGAGGTGGTGAGGATACTTATTAGAGCTCATTAATTCCTAACCATCTCTTGTTTGTCTAAATAAACAAATATCTTATACCTTGTGTATACACTGCTTGCAGCGTCTCTTTACACACAGTGAAAGTTGCTCAAAATGGCCCAGAAACAACACAGGATCCCTTACTCAAGGAAAAGAGGTTGCTTTTGAATCCTACTGTGCTTTCTCAGATGTGTCCTGTTGGGAGCATGCCTGCTGTTCGTCCTGGGCTGTTCTTGGGGATCACATTTACAACCTTGCCCTGTGAGCTGCCCTGCCTGTTGTTAGGATGCTGTTAAGCTTTAGCCAGTCTGTCTCCAAACTGCGTTCTGAAAACCCCTGGATGCACTCTGCTTCTCTTCATTAATGCCTTAGCCAGGCACAAATTGGTGGAACCCACCACTACTAACAGACAGCGAGAAACTCTCTGAAGTAGCCTTATTTTACCTTCATTATTTGACCTTTTGACCCTAAAATTGCTGGCTAGAAACCCCTTAATGGAGCAGTGGACTTAATGGCATTTATGAAGGCCCCAGTGAACGTACCTGCTGCAGCACAGAGAGCTACATGGCACACGGGGAGAGCACAAACCTGCTGCCTTTCCCAGTGGCTGAAAAGTTGCAGGCTGCACCTCAGGATGCACTTTAACCCTCGCCTTCCCCATTCATACGTCCTCACGGGGGCCCACAGGGAGGTGAGGTCTGAGATGAGTGCATCAGACCCAGCCTCCATAAAGCAGTCTGCAGTGACCACTGGGGGTATTTCCAGTACTCTGCTTTATCTATCACCATCTTCATCCACCTTCCCTCTTGCTAAATGTTTGATCTTCATCCCTCTCCATTTTTTTATTCCAAATACTTGCCTCTTCCTCTGTATGTGTGTGGTTTCCCCCTTGTTTTAAAACTTCCCAGTCTGGAAAGGTCGCTCATTATTTAAAATCAAAGGCCCTTCTTTTGAGCAGGTGTCCAAAAGCTCTCCCTTTCCAATTGAGGAGGAACCGACTTCATGCGTATGTCCTGACTTCGGTGACATTTACCTGGTCAAAATCTTGCCCTTAGGCTTTGCTGTCGGCATCCCAGGTTGGTAAATCAAGCAATTAAAATTTAAGATTGCAGATTAGTATTTAAAGATATGACATTTAAATACAAATTACCATGAAATGACTGCAATTTTGGTATGAAAAAAGCAAGCCATAAAATTGATGTATTAAACTCTGTAATTTTCTCTAAATTTTATGTTGAAACTGTATTTTCAATGATTTATGATGATACTTAATTTCACCATTCAGTATTTTCCAAAAGGTTTTGTATAACCAAAGGATGCATCATTTCCCTAGGAGGCTGAATAGTTGTTAGAAGAAATAATTGCTTACATACTGCTCTATTCACATTTGGAGAAGTGTTCAAATTTCTGAAACAATTCAGAAATGGTTCAGATTTATCCATTTATTTTTCCTCAGAACCTTTAATGCTCTTGGGGGCATCATTCCCAAGATGTCCAATGTAAAACACATCTCATTACCCTGGTGGTTAAGTCATTCATCTGGAGTAAAAGATGAAGAGAGAGGTGCTGGTATCAAGCAGCAGCGTTAAATACCTGTCAAAACAGGAGTCCACACCTGCTCCTTTCTGGCCAAGCATTTCTTACAGAGAAGACCATAGGAAGGTTCTCTGACCTGGCTTGGTCCTTCTGGTCACTACCTCTGGCACGACTGGTGGTGTTGCCCCTTGCTCCTACTCACCCTGTTTGGCAGTCAGAAGAGTTACCTAGAAAGCTGGTCACCTCAGGATACGGTGAGCAAGACACCAAAGTTATCCCACCACCTGGGTAAATGCTGCATGCACGAGGCAAACCCGACAAGCTTCCTAAATTCTGCCTCTCTCATAGTTTAAAAGGAAAAGATAAATAATTTCTCCGAATCACAGGAGGCTTTTTTTAATAAATTTGTTTGATACATATCAGGGAGCTTAAAGTTTGTCACTTTTATTTCAGGGTATTAGGTTTGCATGGCAAGATTTTGGTAGTGGGGGGCACTGCAGAGGTGGCTTCTGTGAGAAGCTGCTAGAAACTTCCCCCATGTCTGATAGAGCCCATAGAGATAGACAGGAGGGGGAGGGGGTGCTCCAGGTGCCGGTGCAGAGATTCCCCTGCAGCCCATGGTGAAGAACATGGTGATGCAGGTTGTCCCCCTGTAGCCCATGGATGTCCATGGTAGACCAGATATCCCTCTGCAGTCTGTGGAGGATCCCACGCCAGAGTAAGTTCATGTGCAGGGGTCACAACCCCATAGGAAGCCCATGCTGAAGCAGGCTGCTTGCAAGACCTGTGGACCCACGAAGCAAGGAGCCCACACTGGAGCAACTTTGCTGGTAGGACTTGTGACCCTGTGGGGGACCCATACTGGAGCAGTCTGTTCCTGAAGGACTGTGTCCCATGGAAGGGACCCATGCTGGAGCAGTTCATGAAGAACTGCAGCCCGGGGAAGGACTCATGTTGGAGAAGTTCGTGGAAAACTGTATCCCGTGGGAGGGACCTCCAATGCTGGAGCAGAGGAAGAGTGTGAGGACTTCTACCCCTGAGAAGGAAGGAGCAGCAGAGACAATGTTTGATGAACTGACCACAACCCCCATTCCCTGTCCCCCTCTGGGATGAGGTAGAAAAAATTGGGAGTGAAGTTGAGCCGGGAATGAGAAAAGTATATGGGGAAGATGGTGGAAAATTTAGTTTGTTTCTCATTATCCTACTCTGAATCCTATTGGCCATAAATTTAATTTATTTCCCCAACTTGAGTCTGTTTTGCCCGTGACATTGATTGGTGAGTGATTTCTCCCTGTCCATTTCTCAACCCACCAGCCTTTCACTGTATTTCCCCCACCCATCCAGCTGAGCAACAGAGCAAGAGCAGAGTGGTGGGCACCTGCGATCCACCCAGGGTCAACCCACTTCATTCAGGAAGAACAATCTCAGATACACTTTCCCCTGGGGCATTTCTGTCTAGCTGATTCATCTCCGTCCTTTTTCCGTTCTCAAGTGCTGCTTGGTTTAAGTCCTATTCCGAGATGCCTCACCTGTGATTTACCACACAGGGAATACAGGCACCAGCAACTTTTTTTTAAATATCCAGGTTTCTCTTCAGATACAGCTCTGTTTCTCTGTGAAGAAACAGTCTCAAGAGCAATTTTGGATTATAGTAATCAAATCTATTTCCACTGTAGAAGCACACTTATTTCAGTAATAAAACCCCAACATTTTCCTTACAGAATAAAAGTAATCCTGTAGTGGTATAAATATATTTACTTGCACAAGAATACATGTAAGTCACTCAACATATATTCAGATCTAGTATTTTCATAGTCCTAAGTTTCAAATGGAGTCAGCAAAAGATAGTTACTTGCAGAAAGAAGAAAAACGTAAAGTCTGGCTCAGTTGGGATGTAAACATATATGAAATAATAGAAAGCTCCCTTGATGTGGTTTATTATTTAAATGAATACATTGCTTATGAAAAATACTGACAGCCTTCAGCACTGACCATTTCTGTTTATCTAATTAAAACATACTGTATGGTGTCAGCCACAGAGGCCTCTTCTGGCTGCCTCATGGACACGACCTCAGTGCTGGCCAGGCAGAAGTAACATGAAGAACGCTCGTGTTCAGGCTCAGTGCTCCTCAGCCTGCCCTGAGCCTCTGCAGCTCCGTTCCCCAGACACCCACCACCACCTGCTGTCTTTCGAGGAACAAACCAGGTCAAGGAATTTACTTCAGGGGGTCATCACAGACTCATCAGGCAGCATGCCCCATCAATCAGTGCATCCCTATGCTATACTAAGACAGGTGCTATGTTATTCCATAATGACCTGGTACAACCAACAGTCCAGCTTACGGCAGGTACGGGTGATGTGTACCTTTATCTGGTAGGAATACTTCATACAAAAGGAACAATACTATTTTCTGCTCTCCCATTCAAGCCATGGAACAAAAGTACACACAACTGCAGTACTTTCACTTTTAAATAATTCTTGAACTCTTTCCAATTGTAGGGGTGGAAAAAACACAAAAAGGGGAAATAAAGTTTAATGAATCAATCACATCATGATTCCGTGTTACTGTGTTCTGTCTAACTTATACTTACTGTGTGGGCTATCATCAGCACCAGGCCCTCACAACATATGGCCATTTATTCTGATCCTTCATTACTGTTAGTACAGGGGAGGACAACAAACTAATACAACATGATACTGAAGACAATAGAACATAACACTTAGTTCTGATACACTGAAAAGCAATTTCACACATAAGCTCATTTATGTAGGCACACTGACAGACTGAGCACCATTCTATTGTCTTTTTTTTTTTCAGTTTAACATCAGCATTCAACTCTGAACAGAAGAACGTTAAGCCTCCAGGAGAGTTTCAGTGTTAAGAAGAGAACTACCTCTATTTTACAAACATCAAAACACTAACATTGATACTTCAGTCGAAAAGTTCACTGCAAGTGACCCTCTCTCTGAATTCGAAGGCGCTCCTTCTCCACTTGCAAGCGTTCTTTCTCAATCTGAAGCTTCTCTGACTCAAACTTTAGGAACTGCAGCCTCTCTAACTGCAAACGTTCTTTTTCAAGTTTTAACTTTTCAGTTTCTAGATCCAGAGGTTGCACGATGGGTTTTTCTGTCTGGGCGAGGTCATTTTCCAGGGCAGGCTTTTCAGCATGCAGGGTCTCTAGCCTGAGCTTCTCCCATTCGATCTGAAGTCGCTCTTTCTCAATCTGAAGTCTCTCACGCTCCAAGTCAACGTGTCGCAACCGCTCTTTTTCGATTTGCAGGCGCTCCTTCTCCACTTGCAGCCTTTCGGCTTCAATGTCCAGTCGCTGCTTCTCCAGCTCCACCTTCTGCTTCTCCAGATTTATAAGCAAGTGGGAATCTTCATAGGCTAGCCTAGCTTGAACAGAGCTCAGATTTCCAAACTCTTCGATGTGGGGGAAGTCTGGTAGGTCGTTTTCCTTTCTGGAATCTGGCAGAACTGATGATAAAATTTCTTCTTCTTCCTCAATAGGAAACTGCAGAGAGGAATGTGACAGACAAGAATTACATTCCAGTCTTTATGCCAGAATAAATTTTTTTACACGCAATTTGACTGAAAAGAACATCCTGGGTTTTTTAATCTTAAAATCTTCTCAGAACTGTTTAACTCACATACTGTGAAATAACCAGGTTACATCAAAAGACTGTTTTCTACCATTACACAGGTAGAGAAACACACTTTATCTGCAAGTTAATATCTGGTAATGAAAAATGGAAAAATCAGCTTGTCAGTAGACATGCAAGAACACACACAAAATACTGCACAATAGCTATTACATAGCATTCAGAACCACTGATAGAAAACAGGATCAAAAAAGCATACGCTGTTCTTACTTTTCATATAGCTGGGTGACATTTACATAAGCCACTAGGAATTTCTTGTGACTAATTATTTATCAGAGCAGCTGGACCCATAGGCCACATACTATGTGAGGTAACCCAGCCTTCATTAACTTGAGGATTTCTTGTCTAAAAAACACTGACATTTTCCATATGCTCCTAACCCTTCACACTATATTAAATGGGTTAATAAACAGGACTTCATTAACCAATTTTGTATTATCACATTTGCTGTGATGCAGACGACGAGGTTGTTAGGACCATTGTCTCCCACTAAATATGCTGTAAAAGAAAGGCAAACTGAGGAAGACACAGATTCAGAAAATCTTAAGGTAATGAGAGCCACTGTCAGCCCTCTAGCACTAGAGCAGAGAGATGCTGTTCTTCAGTTGTCAGACAGCAGTCTCATATCATTTAACAGCTCACACTGATTTTTTCCCAGCACACATCTCAACTGAGCTAAGACAGGAGTTGTTTCCTCCCCCCCCCCAAAAAAAACCCCAAACCAAAACTGTTTGAGTACCCCTTTTTGAGATGACAACTATACATCTGTTCAGGCACAACAAAACTATCCAGTCGACTTCACTCCAGCTGGCTGCTGACCTCAGGGCAGCCACAGTACTACCAGGAGTAACAACCTGTCTGCAGGATCCACAGCTACTTGTCAAATTTACACAAGAATCATGACAGAGAGGGATGGCTGACTTATTCAGGTAATATTTTCATCTCCTGTGGATTCATTTTAAGAAATGCAAGCGTACTCTATTTCTTTCTGTACCTGCAGATAACAGATACTTTCATTTGCTAGAGGTGCCTTTCTCTTCTCCATTCAGCTTAAGTATTAAAATAACCAGTTTCCTTCATCCTACTGACTGAACTAATCCTTAGCTATGGCACATACAAATGGAAAATATATGTGCAAATACATATTCAAACTTGAGGGATACCAATTTAGTCATCAGCATCCAAGGCCTTTCACACAATTGCAAGTTGCTAGATTTGAATACCATCTCTCTGAAACATATTTGTTTCTACAGTTTCTTTAATTCACACATTCAGAAAAAACAGAAACAGATGCTATAAAGAAACACAGCAAAAAGCCTCATGCTGAAATAAGATGAAGGCCATATTGCATATAACTAATGTATGTCAGTCACTCACTTCAAAATTCTGTGGATCCTCCTCTTCTACTTTGATTTCTGTTAAAGATCCACCGGCTTCTCTGAAGTCAGTGATATTCTGCCATTCAAAACTAGATTCAATTGCAAATCCCATTTTCTCATCCATGTCTTCATTGAGAGAGTCATCTAAATTGGATGAAGGAAGGTGAAAGCCAGCACCTACTACTTTGATGTTTGCATTCAGACGTTTTCTCTTCATGAGTGCTCGCCAGTCAAGGTATCGCCTTTTCACTTCTGTCCCTGTTCTTTGCTCTCCTTCACCTACAGCATTTACACACTCTGCTATTTCCTCCCAAGCTTTCCTTTTCATCTCATTAATTGTTGTATTAAGTTGCTTTGAAAAGAGTACTTCTCTCCTTTTTCTGATTTCCTTAAGGAGAGTTTGAGTTTCCTGAACGCTAAAATTGCTTTTTCTTTTTCTTTTTAATTGTTTCATTTTTTCCAGCTTTAACCTAGTAATTTCACCACAGGAGACTACAGACATGATCTGAAACTAACCAGTTGTTAAACAACATTTAAAAGCCAATGAAAGCAGAGTTCTTGTGAAGTGAATTTTCTCTTCACTTTGAAGTATTTTCCTATTTGTCAGGCTTCCTAAGAGAAAAAGAGCAAACAACATAAATCTCTAAGGTATACACTGTATATTTTCATTTAATGAACTTGACTCCTAAGTCATCATTTAAAGAATGCATATTTTGAACTGATCATTCATTCGATAGAAGAAAACCCATTTTGTTAAACTCTGAATATAAAGTAGCTATAGGTACCTTCTCTAATCTCATTGAATTAGAAATCCGTTAACATATCCATGTCACAAACTGTTAAGGTTAAGTTGGTATTTCCATTACAAAAATACAGCTATTTTCCTCCAAGTCTTACGAGTTTTGCCAGTCAGGATTTGCTTAAGGCTGAAATTTGACAGACACATTTAAGTTTGAATGCTAAATTATTTCCAAAAGAAACTAAAATTGTTGTATCATTACCTCAAAAACATGAAATGCTTAGGGGATGGAAATTTCTGAGACATATTTTAGATGAGACACCATTTCCAGCCCTGTCCCTCACCCCAAAATAGATTAATTTGCAAAGTTGACATTTTAGAGGCTCTTCTTACTTATCTTAATCACAAAAAATAGAACCGGATAAGTTCTGCTGAGTGTCAGAAAATAACTACTAGTTCAAACAAACATTGTGCATTAGAGAGGTTTCAAATAGAAACAGATTTAGGAATAAGCCATTATGTGCCCGTGGTAAAGCCCTCCTCTATCCTTCTCACATTGCAAAACACCTCATGTCAGATGTGGTGGCAGGCTGAAAGCGTGTCCAGTCCTCTGCCTTCAGCAACAACTGGTCCTGTGCCTGATGCTGAAGAGAAAGCTACATCCCAGAACACACCTGACAGATTGTGCACAACTCTGTACAAAGAGTGGAAAGTTGGAGTGGGAAGAACAGGGGACTACTAATGCAGTGATGAATGTATCGTAAACCATATTAGCAAAAAAAACCCCTAAAAACCCCAAACCTAAAAACAGAGGCTTGAGAATAAAAAAATAATTCTTGGTCACAGACTGCTTGGTAATGGTTGAATTTAGGATTTATTTTGAACGTTCTTTTGTACCGTGTTACCTACCACCCTACTACTTGGGGTAAGTTTAAAAGGCTTTAAACCAAGTAGGCCAATGATTTACCACACAGTACTTACAGTTTCCAGCTGTTATGTTTGTTCACCATTAACCTAGTATAGAATTTTCATCCATCTGAAGCAAATGGCTTGCAGATTATATATTAGACTGTTATTGGCTAATGGACTTAATTCTTAAGTAACTTTCCCTCAGCTAGAAAGGATTTTAAAATGACAATCCAATTAAATCCTGTTACTCTCCTAAACTTGGTTTAAGCATATACATTACACAAAAATTTTCACTGTATCTGCTAGAATTATGTCATTTTTTCCTGAGACCTTTTATTTGCTATTTAAGCTTCTCCCTTAGCCCTCATTACTATGACTCTACCATGAAAAGATACTTGGGCTTTCAAGGAAGCAGCATCATACTTACTTGTCTTTCAGTAAAACAATTTATTTGGTACTTGCTGTACTTTTCAATCACAAATCACAGCGTCAGTGCTTTTCTATTATTATGGCAGCTGAATTTGTTGGGTTTTTTTGTTGTTTTTTTTTTAACTTTCAAAAAGCCACTGAATGGGTAAATTCTTCAGAAAAGTTACCTGCACACTGAACGAATTAAGAGCATTTTTAGAAGCTTCACCGTTAATAAGGCAATTAGTCTGGACTGACAAACATACAGATTGGACCAAGTACTCGTGTCTTCATGCTGGCTTTAGAAACATGCACATTTGCACTTACCTGTTCTCAGGGTTGGGAGCACATGTGAAAGATTCAGAGGTATCCATTTTGAGTTGATCTTCTAGGTAAAAAGAATTACAGAGTTCTTAAGTTGCACAAGAATTATAGTATTTCTGACTTGTTACTACCAAGAGACAGAACCTCCATTCATAAGGCCACACATTTTTACTGAAAACTGTAACATTTAACATTTGACTTTAAGCATCTACTTAAGTGACCATTCGAGTACTTTGCTAACTATGAAAAAACGGGTCAGACTTTCCAATGTACTTGCCAGTTGGATATGTCAAACTCTTGAAAGTACTAGTAGATTGTTAGTTGCCTCTTAAGGTACCTAAATATCAGACTTTTGCTGAATAATGGACATTGTAATCTCAAGATATACACTGGCCAAGTCCTTTAATTAGCCCCAGCTGGCATAAACAAGGTTCTAGTCGCTCCCCAAAAATAGGGAACCACAGGATTTTAGAGACTCATGGTCTCTCCGTTTACCCTGGCCCTCCTTAAGCTTTTCAGTGCTAACAGAGAAGGGTAAAGTGGGTACAATCACAAAAAAAAAGCCAAACAAAAATTTTTCAAATCAAATTTTCATCAGTGTTATTTTCTAACTATAACTCTACATGACTGCAGAAAACACAGACAGCCAAGCCTTCACCTTAGCTCCAGAGAAGGCTGAGAGTTAAAACACAGAAATGTCAGGTTATGCTGTGGGTCAGTCTCCCTGCTCCTCGCGCAGGTGCTGGGCATCACCTGTCTGATCTCCACAGCCACTCTTTGTGAAGTGCCTAATCTTGGGTTTGGCTTCTCAGCCATAAACCAAGCACATAACCTTTAAAACTTCTGGCATCCAATCCCTTATTATGTAAAGTTCTCTTATTTATTTTTTTTTTCCTACAACATGTCTGACACAAGGCTCTGAATTTCCCAGTAAAACAGTAGCAAAGCCTACCTATTTTAAAACACATGACTATGAACTTTCAACTGGCAAGGACATCTTATATTCTAACTCTTTTCTCTTTGAAAGCATATTGCCTCATTAAAGACAATTTCTTTCTTATTAATCTAAATTGGTTAGAACAATTAATTAACACCAATTAACAGTATACAGACTCCCAGAGTTAAATTAACTCCACAATGGGACCATTTACCATTCTGATACATTCACAAAAAGCATTGTTACCTAACTAAAGCTGAGGTTTGGGATATTGGGTTTCCTGACATTGTTGATGGTCTCCAGGATATTACTCTCTAATGCAGAAAACTGAACTCAATACATGCTCAAAGTATATACGGGACAGGAATAGTAATAAGCTAGGATTTGTACACATTCTATATAGAAAAAAATAGCACCCCATCACCATTTTGAAAAGCATGATTTGCAAAAACCCGACATACAGCATGCTTAAGTTCTGCTTTGATACAAGGTCTAAAACATGAAATGCATGCATTTGGGAAAAAAACACAGTAGACAGACATTACAGTTTTTCCAAAATCAGAACTATAACTGCTCTATATTATCTTGGTTTTTGTAGAGGATTCCACAGCAAATATTTGCTGAGTACACCAATTGGGAAGATGGGTGGTTCACCCTAGAAAAAGTATGTGGAGATAAGAGCAGAGGTGAGAAAAACCCTTTTGGTCAGATCAAGCCACTTACACCACTATGAAGGTAAGAGAAGACATCTGCAAGAAAAAGCTAAATCCTTCAAGTATGACCAAAAGTCCTTCTGGTACATGACCAAAGACATCAGTTACCTGACAGGGAACAGCTGCAGCCTGGTCAGTCAAGTGACCAAGAAATTCCTGGGAAATGAGAGAGGATGCAAACCTCCTACACAACCAGCCACGCACCCATCACAGACCAAGGTGCTGCTGGAAATGCAAAATGGATACTTTCACAGTCTGGGTAGAAATGCAAAGTGCTGGCAAAGAAACAATTCCAATCATATGATAATTGAAAGATTTAAAGATGAGAACATACAGCTAGGAGTTTGATGCAGCCCTGTCAGGCCAATGGCCAAGAAGGTCCTCATCACTGGACTAACGAAACATAAACAATTTGTCAGGACTGAAACAAACCAAGTATTGCAAAACTAAACTGAGCACTCCATAAACACACAGAACACACAAACACTGAATAACTCTGACATACATAATGACAGAGGCATACACATTCTGCCTGCGTCTTTGTGTCTCCGTTGCTCACAGCTTATTGTGTGAGCACGTGCTGAACCAACAAACAAAAAAAATCCATGCATACATGAGGACTGCAGGATTTGTGTTAGCATCAAATTTTAATTATTCTCCAGAAAAATAATGAATTCTTCTAAGTATGATACCCTGGTGGTTTGCCCTTTTCTGTTTTTTTAATCTTTCAAAGCTTATGATTGAAGAAAAAACAAAAAACACCACCTTTCAATCAGGAGGACCTGCTATTTACATTGCTTTAAATAAAATTTGAGAGTCTGAGGATCTCTACATGATACTAAAGCCTGGGGCTTTCTGGAGAACTTCACATGCGATTGGTAATGGGTGGCTTCAGTGGCATGGAGCAACTCATGCCCTCGTACCAAGGTCTGGGTGCTGCCTCACACGGGTCACCAAACGGACAGCAGGGCTTGAGCACCTGAAAAAGGCAAGCGCTAAAAGGAACCACCACCACCTAAAAACACAATTTATGGAAGCAGAGAGGAGGTCCCGGGGATGGAAAGCAGCTGCGGATTCGGGCTGTTCCCCTTCCCCTACCACAGCAAGGGCCATAGACGGGAGGAAGCCTCCCCCCCGCAGCAGGGAGCCGGGAGCTCTGGAGGGGGGAAGGCGGCGCAGCCCCCAGGCCGGGGCCGGCCCAGCCCGCGGCTCCGTCCCGCTCCCACAGAAGCCCCACGCAGCGGGGCGAGGAAAGGCAACAAAGGCTGGGGAGGGCACGGCAGGCTGCCCCG